AGGAGGCCACGTCCTCCGCTCCGTGTCTGCCGCTGGTCTCTGCAAAGAGGCTCTGCTCCACCCTAGAGGCGGCTCCAAGGCTGTTCTTAAGCTCCCGAGGTTTCTTTTCCCTTCCTTTGCTCCCCTCCAGATGGGCAAGCCACCACCTCGGCGCTTGAGGCATCGAAGAAGGTGGGAGCTGAGTGGCAAAGGGTCGTTTTCCAAATCTCCCGCTGCGCTTTCGGAGCTGCTGCTGGAGAGGGCGTTGGAAATGGCAATCCTGCCTGATTTTCCTGGACTCCTCGGTGGTGCATTTCCAGCCCGGGGAAGTGCTCAGAATACAAACAGGAAACCCAGGGAGTTTCATAACGTCTGCGCCTGGCTCTGAGCTGGGTCCTGCTCGCTGGAGCGGCGGCCTGAGAGGGCAGGCGGGAATGGAACTGCCTCCCTTTGCCCACAGCAGCGCCCCTGGATTGCATCCACTGACTTCAAAACTGGCAAGCCTGAGTTGTGCCTGGTCTTAAGCACTCGCTGGAAGAGGGGGGAGAAGGCAGGAAGAGGCTCGTTTTATAGCAGCTGTAAATCCGTGCGCTTATACCGGACCGGCAATCCGTGAGCGAGCAATGCGGAAAGGCAGCGACTCGCTGCCTCCTATGAGCCTGCTCCTGGTGTCTTCCTGGTGCTACCTGCTGCTGTGACAGCTGGTGTTTTATCCTGTTTCCTGCTGGCTCTAAGCCTGGGATGGATAACGCACAGGCTAAAGTTTTTGGTGTCTTTGTGTCTAAAGCCTCTTTGTGCAGGATAGTGACTTTGCACGCGCTGCAGCGCCGCTTGCTTAAGGCTCTCGTGCCTTAGTCAAAGGCAGTCTTCCCTCTGAACTTTACGGTGCAGTAAATATATTCTGGTTATGAAGTGTGTGGCATGGAAAGTGGAGAGCGGCCCTTGAAATGCATGTTGCAATTTTGGGTGGAAATGCGTGTTTGGTATTTTGCACAGGGTGCTGAGCGAGATGCAGCCCTTGCTCATGGTCCAGGCAGGATCTGCACACCTAGGTCAGTGTGCCAATTGCTCTCCTCATGCCCGACATTGTTTTGTACTTGGACACCAACTGCACAGCGGTTGGGGCTCTTTAGATGTGTGTGGTGGCAACCCAGGCTGCTCGCAAACCAAAGCTTCTGTGTCTGCGAAACCTGAGCTTGGCAGAGCAAACCTCATCCACTCAGCAGTGTTAGGGAGCGACTCAGGAGAAAAGTCTGAAATGTGAACTGGGAAAAGATGTTTTTTGGGGAGGAAAGCAATTCAAAGGACAGTTTTAGAGTATTGTGCCACTGAGGGGTGTTTGCTGTTGCCCTATTACCAGATCAATTATGGTGATCAATTCAGATTAATCTCTGGCCTGACCAAGACCATTATCTGCCTGTTAGATGGGAACAGAGAGGTGAAGTAGACCAAGGACCTTGGTGTATGAGAGAGGGTCCAAAGCAGTAGCTGTCCTTGCAGGCTGGTTTAGTCATCTGAGCTTGAACTCCCCCTGCATGGACACTGAGCAGGCCTGGGACCTGCCTTGCCCCCCAGTTAATAGGATGGATCCCCCTTGTCCTCTGGGCCGACATGTTCCTGGTTTAGTGTCTATGATGGGTCATTCACAGAAGAGGGTGGCTCTGGGTGGCTGCTGCCTATCCCAAAGGCCCTGGAGGTGTCACAGCTTTCCACATCAAGGGAATGATGGAGCTGCTGGCACCCATCGTGTCCTCTCCTAGCCAAACACATCACCTCCTGGAGGTGAACATGTCTTCATTCGCTCCCTACCTTCTCTGGCTGCCTTCTGACCCAGGCTCCCTGCAATCTCTGATCTTTGCCATGGTTTCACCACATACCTTCTTTCTTCTTTCCCTGTGCTCTTGCAAAGTGCAAGGCAAAGATTTCCTTTGCCAGATGATGTCTCGATGTAAGAGTTGACTGCATGCAGAGGCTCAGGAAAACAAAAACATGAAGCGGTCAAACCCTTTCTTGGACAGTGATGTATGTTATGCACCCAGGAGGATGCTTCTAGCTAGCCGTAAGGGATCCAGGATGTATTATTATCATTTAATTCTTCCCTGGGGACCCATGGAGAGCCCTGAGGCTGGCATTGGAGGGTGAGTAGCTAGCACAGGAAGAGGTTGGATACCCCAGCATGCCTTCCTTTTGGCTTGGTCCATAGACACGTCAGCCAAGGATAGATGACAGGGCTGTTCTCACCCCATGGTGGAATCCTCTGAAGAAGAAAAGGAGCTTCAATCCATGCTGAAGACCGGCTGAGCTGTGCTGGCTGGAGGGATGAGGGGCTCTCAGTTCCTGCTGGTTTCCTTCTTGCGTGGATCTGGCTGGGAAGAGAGGAACCTGCCCTTGACCACTGCCTGTGGCCATCTAGGTTTGCCCGAATGACCTGATATTCTCACAGACAATATCCATTCTGTGATTCTGTAATACGTGGCCTTTACGTCCATGATAAGCCTACTGGATCACACCTTTATGCTCTCAGTCCCTACAGCAGAGGCCATGCGTTGTTTTTGTAGTGCCAAACACAGACAGCATAGCCCATCATCGATGCAACCCTTTAGCATGTTCAGTGTGGTACGTCACACGTGCTGCGTGGAGCGTCTGTGTAACCAACCATTCCACAGGTAACGGGGATTTCTCATTACACACTTATGTGCATGTGCACCCATGGCTTTCCTTCTGCTCAGGTCATCCTAGGATGGCTCATCCTCCTCCTATCCCATAACAATACCCTGCATGGTTGGGACCTAAGGAAAAAGAAGGAAAGAGGCCAGGAATCAGAACAGAATTTTTAGGATGATGCAGAGAAAGAGGAAACTTTTCCCCTTAACCTTGAGGATACCAGAGTAGCATTAACTAAGCCTAAATCTCTGTTAACTCCTCTGATAAGAAGGCATTTTCTTCAGCAGGGAAGCCTCGACACTGCAGTTTAACAGACCCAGGGCCCTGTGATGCTGCTGTGGTGTCTGCTCTTCCCCATGGTGATCTGGCTTCTTGTAGACCTATGGCTTTGCTTGAAAACAGTAAAACCAAGGAGGTCCCAGATGCCATGGCTGGGGTGACTCTTTTACCCTTCTGTGCTTGCAGGAAGTGATATTTTTATTTTCTCTGTGATTTTCTTTCTGAAGTTTCCAGAATTGTGCATATCTCCCTCTCACATCTACTCCAGACCAGACACTGGGCCTGAGAGGCCAGGGGATTCTGAAGCTTAGGCAGGTGTTTTAATTAATGATATAACTAATTGCATGTAGAGGAAAGAGAGAGGCCACAGCTGCCTTTTCAGGATCTCCAGCTCCTATCGTGCTGTGTCAACTCGTGACACCTCAGCCTGGCTCAGCTCCAGGCCTGCATTGTGGCATCTTCAAAATCAGGAAAACATCTTGAGCTCCTCAGTGGGTGAGCAAAACAGACCCCTAAAAGTGATCTGTGACAGAGATCCCAGGCTTTTTTGGCAGTCTAAAATTCTCTCTTGAAACCCAACTGTCCCAGTCACAAGCACATGATGCTGCTCTTTTGCTGCTGCAGCCATCATGCACCTTGGTAATCTGCAGCCCACCAGCTACCCCTCCTCTGAGCCCAGCTTAGTTGTGGTGTCCTGGGGTTAGAGGCAACTCTTGGATCTCATGTGGGGCCTTGCTTTTTAAGCAGAGCTGAAATGATGCTTGGTGGTTTATTAATTTGCCCTGTTAAAATAGCAGCAGCTCAAGGCTGTGTCTTCCAAAGAGGAAAAGCCAGTGGCCCTGGGGGAACTGTCGTATAAATGGTTTTACATCGGCTTACTTGTATTTCTGTTTTGTGTGACCCTGCATTATATTTACTGGGATATATCCCAGGAAAGCGAGTGGCAGGTGGTTGCAAGTGGCTGAATGACAGTTGAATGAGCTGATGGACAAGTATTAATGACAGTTGTCTGCATCACCAAGATAAGGTTAGCAAAAATCCCATTGAATCAGGACAAGTTTGGCAAGTGCTGCAGAGTTAAATGGTGTTGCACCAGCTCTGAAATAACCCTTCTTGCAATGTCAGAGTCAAGATGCCTATTACTGAGAACCCAGAACGTGTTTCTCGTGTTTCATTCTCTGGCCCTCCCCAGCCCACACGCTCCGGATCTGTAATTAATGGTTGATTTAAGGGGCAGATTCTCCAAGGTAGTTAGGTATGTAGAAGTCATATACTACTGCGATTCAAAGCTGTAGGAGGCTAATTCTCTGTTTTGAACGTTGTGGTAGATGCTCGATGCCAGTTTAGATGTCTAAGTGCCTTCCTGAATCTAGCCTAAAACAAGAAATTGCTGAAGTTCCTAGCAACAGAGCTTTGGTTATTGTTACTTTGCATTGTAGTGCTCGGTATATTTAAATAAAGTGCACTTTATATAAAGTGAATGCTAGCTGGACAAAGAGGGGAAGACATCTGCTACTTAGTAGATGCAATGCCATCAGTCACTGCCCTTGTCTATGTATGTTGTAATATTCATGACATTGATCTTCAGAATTCCCTGGGTGGAGTGGAGGGACCTGTTTTCCCAGAGAAGGAAGAGAGGCATCTGTGTATATCCCTATGTCACTGCCAAAGGATATCCGTGATAGAATAAAGCTGCTATAGCTTGAATTTCCTGACAGTGCTTGAATTGCAAATTACCCAGCTTTTCTTTGTCTGCTTTTTTTTGTTAATATGTTTTTGTTTTTGTTCCGTCCTATGTTTACTTGGAAGAAGGTATTTTATGTTTGTGAACCACCTGGGAATTCTAGCATGGAAATCTCTTGGTTACCTCCATCTAAGAATAAACGAGTGGTCACTCTAGTGAGCATAAAATGTTGTGTAGTGGATTTCTTTCTGTCTTCTGCTGTCCTCTTCAGAGCTATCTTCTTTACTGGAGTGGTCTCTCTATATATTTGCCTGCAATGTCCTATGAAGGAACAACCCTGTGTACATTATTTCTTGTGTTGATTCCTGTAACCCAGTCAATGTTTTCTTCACAGGCCTGAAAGATGACAAGGATCTGAAGTTCCTTCTCAAAGGCAGCCAGCTGATCAAAGTGAAGTCAGGTTCTTGGCAAAAGCAGCGGTTTTATAAGCTCCAAGAGGACTGCAAAACCATATGGCAGGAATCAAAGAAGATGCTGAGGACCCCAGAATCACAGACCTGTAAGTATCATTCCTTTCACCACATGCATCAGGCACTGTCTATAGAGAAGGTTGCTTGGTCCAGGGCATTTATCCTTGCAGTGGGAAGGCAGAGGTTGGAGCAATGGGGCCAGATCCTTCACACCTTGGCACCACACAAACTGACAGATGGTGTCAGCTCTGAGACAGCTGAGGGGAATCTGCTGAGTGAGGATTGGCCACGTTTCCCAAGCTGATGAGCTATCACTCAAAGCTGTCATGAAGTGGAAGAGTAATAACCACAGGGGCTGCATGGTGTGATGTGGCATGGCGTAGTGTGGAGGGAAGACCACACCAGTGGCAGGTGGGACAAACTCTTGAGGAAACAACAGCATGCTGAGCTCAGCAGTGATTCCCAATTTCCTCCCAAGAGTTTCAGGTTACTCAGATGTCCCTGTGGTGGTACAGCCAACATGCTAGATATGAGGCTTGTCTTGCACATCTGCAGCATCATACAGTGAATTTTGGTTGTTGGTCTGGGCTCTGCCAGGATACTGCTTATCTGTCCTGCAGCTCTTAGGAAAGCAGGACAACGTACAGTCTGGTATTGAAACCTCAAAAGGAAAAGACACTGATGTGGAGATCCAAGGGCTTGCAGGAGATGTCTTTGGAAAGCAAAGTCTGTTCTCATCCTTACCCTGGAAACTCGAAACTTGCCCCACTGTTGTCCATGACAAAAAGTCCAGATACAACAGTCACCACTGCAAGAACATGGGGAAAAAACATTTAGTGTCAGCATCATCAAACTTAGGATCTTATTACCCAGGGCCTTCTGGTCCCTGCTGTTGAGTTAAAATGGAAGAGTGTCAAACATCAGAGGGAAAGGAAGACACTCATTACAACAGTGGTATGAGGCAAGGTATGCATCTGTTTATATCTGTTATATCCTTTAATATTCTTCTGCGCTGTTTCTCTGTCATGATCATCATAGACTTTTAAAGACATGAGGTTAATGAATAATGCTCAATATAGTCTATAGCATGCTGAAATGTGAGAGCACTGTTGTCCTAGTTATTTGCACTTTTTTTTTGCAACAACTAAATGTGTCTAAGCAAGGGGTGGGTCTTCCAAATTACCTCCACTCCTACAGTAAGTGTCACTGAGGTGTGTGAGATCTTGAGCCAGAAGAATAAGGTAGCAGGGCAAAATATATTTGGTTTATAACCTTCGCATTGCTGCACTTTTCACTTGTGACCTTGGGCAGCTCATTTAATCTCTTTTTACATCTTTCCCCCAGTTTAACAACACGCCTTTCTTCTCCACTACCTAGCTGTATTTTAAAAGGCTTTGAGCGAGAGACCCTTCCTTTTTGTGCATTTGCATGTCCAGCACAGCAGGGCCCTGAGCTCCACTGAGCCAGTTAAATACTGATGTGATAATCCATAATAGCAACAACAAATGTGAAGGCCTTAGTGAATGTGAATGCCTGCTCGGTTGACCTCTGTTCTGTTTGCAACTGAAGTCCTTGCCCAGGTAATGTCTTGTTACAAAACAAACAAGGGTGTGAGTCGAGAAGGAGGAACTTTCAGAGCTTTCTTTCCCCTGCCAGCAATTTCCAAATTATGGGGGCTGAGTGCTCCTCTAGCAACAACCTTGCCCTCACCTGCAATCCTCTGCAATAACTGCACAGCCAGCAAGTCCTTGTGACCTGACTGCGGGGACCTTGAGATGAGCTTGGAGAAGCGCTCTTTGAACCCGCTGCTTCCCTCTCCAGGGCAGTGGCACAGAAAATTGCACGCACTATAATTTATTATATATCAAGTTACAGTGAGAGACCTGCAGTGGGACCAGATCCTTTGAGGTGGGTGTTGCGCACAGGCTGGGTATGTGCGTGCGTGGGAAGCAACTGCACGGTCAGCAAGGGTGTGGATTTACATCGCTCAAGATACCCCAGATGTTTTGTTAGCTGGTGGCAGCTAAGGTAGGTGGCTACATTTCTGGAGATGGTGTCAATGACACTGCAGGCAGGAGAACTTGCTGTGCCCTGGGAGTGTCCTAAGTGCAAGAACAAAGGCAGACTAATACCAGCTCGCCCCCACACATATTGCTCTATAATACCTGCACGGGAATAGGTCCCTCCCAAGAGAAAGTCTCTTTTATCACTGGGATAGGAAAATAATCCAGGCAGTCAAGGCTGAGGTGATCTCTGCCATCTTGAAGAAACAACTTCTGGCAAGGCCCCAGCTCTGTTGATTTTCTTGGACTTGCTGACTTTCTGTGCTTGACTTTTACTCAACCACCTCAGGGATGCTTTTCACAGACACTGTGGGCATGCCTCAGCCTAGAAGTCAGTGGTAGAAACCAGCACTGTACCAACACCTGCTGAGTCCCCAGGCCATCCATTTCCCCACAGCTGTCTGCTCTGTCTGTCCTCTAAGTCCTTCCACCTCCAAGTTTTCAGGGCAACCACTGGTTTTGAGTTTGATTCTCAGGATTTCAAATTCACTAGGTATTAACTGCTCTGGATTTTGATACGGAGATGAATTCCCCAGTTGACACTGTGTCTTCTGATAGACTGTATTGCTGTGGCTGCTTTTTTATTTGGCCGTATGTGTGTAGTTGAAAAGCAAAGAGTGTGGGATCATGAGTTGATACACAGGATCAAGGGCTCCAGGGTGAGACTCTCCAGAGAGTTACACTTCCTTGCTAACAGACCATAACTTTGTCTTCCAGTGCAAAGCCTTTCTAAAACTGCAGATAAGCTGCCTTTCATAGGGAGGAAAAAGAATGAGTAAAATGGAAACTGGGAGGTCTGGGCAGCAGGTCTAATCTTATCTGCAGCAGAGCTGAGAGCAGCCAGATGGAGGCAGCTCAGAGGAGTGAACTCTGGATAGGGCGAGGGTTACGTTTTATTTGGACAGTTTCCTGTTACTCCAGTTACTGCATACAGTCATACAGAGAGGCTGTTTGTAAACCACTGTGTGGCTGTGTTCATAGAAGATAAAACTGAGAATCTCCAGGGCTAGGCAGAAGAATCTCAGCATCTTGAACTAAAGACATAACAAACATAGCAGGGTTGTCACAGGCACAGATAGTTGCTTAGGTCAGATGCAAAGGGACACAGTTCTTACCTTGCTATGCCTTTATTTAAAACAAGTAGAACTTTATATCGGCTGTTGTCTGGATAGCTGTATTCCCCACAAGGCTTTTTGGAGGCTAGGCTGCCATTACGATGTAGTTCCTACACAGGTAGAGCATAATATTTCTTCTCCATATTATCCATAATCCATTATTTTTCACTATGTTCCTTTTAGGCCCAAAGGACCAGATTTTCCAAATGCATTGGTAGGAAGCTCTTGCATTGCCCTATGGTGATGGCTGCTCGCAGGCAATGCCATCCATCCCTACATTGCTTTGCAGCAGCCCCTGTTGCAAACTACCTCATTAAGAAACACAAAAGTGATGTTGGGCCTCTTGCATGGTGAAAGGTTCAAATACAGGTCCAGCATGGACCAGGTACACCTTCAAGCAGCTCCCACCACTCCCAAAGCATTGGGATCTTCCTTGTTGGCAGGATAGCTGTGCCTCCTCCTGCTCTGTGGTTATTGCAGAGATGCTGGTCCATAAGGACTTCTGTGCTCTCTCTTATCTTAAACAAAGTGTGGAGCTAAAGTTGCTCAGATGCTTCTCTGGACTATTAGTCTTTTATGCATCATACTCTAGGAAATGGAAAGGATCCCTGGGAAATGGAAAGAAAGCTTTGTACGCTATGTTTTTCCCTAAGGAGAAAAAAAAAAAAAAGAAAAGAAAAAGAAAATTAAAGAAAGGAGCAAAGCTTGGGCCTGAGAGAACGGAGTTCAAGTGGCAAGTTAACAGTTTTCAGAAATAAAAAAGGAAAGGTTTGTGCAAGGATCTGAGAATCAGCCAGTTCTGTAACAGCCAGTTCACTCCTGAGCATCTCTCTGGACCAGTTGCAGAGGGAAGGGATCCAGCAGGGTGCAAGGGCTCATGTCCAAGGAGCAGCAACCTGTCACCATCCCTGACACAATCTTGTTCAGCTGCGGTCAGATATCAGGTCTCATCTGTGTGAGGAAAAAAAAAAAGGAGCAAAAAGCCATATGCTGCTTTCAGCTGATATCAATTTTTAAAAGTCTTCTCTTAAAGAAGTGGAAATCCCTAACGTGAGCTCACTTAAGCCAGCATTAACCCCTTTAAAAATCATCTGCATTTAAGATTTTGTAGAGAGGGTTGAAAACCTTACAGTGGAACAGCATTTTGAGCTTTTGGTGGAAAAGACAAGTGCTCAAAACTGGAAGAGAAAGCCTGAATGATTGATTTCGATTTAGGGCTCCTACCATGGGGCCTCGAAGGAGCTGGGGCTTTGCTACCTTCTGCACAGAAAGTCATGGAACAAATTAAAGAGATTTGGCTGAAATATTTAAATTTATGACCAAAAGCTTTTTTTTTTTTTTTTTAGTAAGAGTGAGTTTTGGACACAGCTGAATGAGGTGGGCTAAAGTACTGAATTACTGGACAGTGACACACCTATTTAAATCAAAACATTGTGATTATTTTCAGACATGAAATTGATACTTGGATCTAATGATTAATTACCAGTTGGTGTTGTTGCTTTTGATTTCGAACTGTATAACATGGTATTTCTGTATGGTTTAAACACAATGCAAAAACTTTATGTTTATGGCCTGCTACCAGTGCTCAGCAGGAAGCTTTTCCCTTTATTCTTAAGTTCTTGTGAAATTTAGGAACGCCCTTAAATTGCTTAAAATACCCTGTGATGAACATACCATGCCATTTTTGTGGAGGGATGAAAGATTGCCTCCATCGAAAAAAATGTACTGGACTTGCTTTCAGAAGAACAGAAAAGATACAGGGTCTTTCCATGATTGCTTACGTCAATAAGTAAAAACTTTTCCTTGTTTCTGTGCATCTG